GGGTTTAGGGTTTAGGGTGTGTCTACGGGATTCTCAACTTATCAGGTTTCGGGTTTGGGATTCATAGAGTAGCGTTTAGGTGCAGGCTTCCTGTACTGCCATGCCTTGCTTTTGAGGGTTTATCGCTGGCGGCGCATGTGTCTGCAATTCTACCTATCGAAACCCTAAACCCTAAACCTCGGCTCCATCGCATGTGTGTTCTGTGTCCCTCGTTATGCCGCTTGCACTGGCACATGAATGAAGCTGGCTGCCAGACAGTTGGCCGCATATTTGCGGTTCCGGGGCTTCGGTGTAAGGGTCAGAGCCTGACTGCGCGAAGCGCATCAGTTGAGGACATGCGTGAAGATCAATGCAATCTACCTGCTGCTGACGGCTGGCTACTTAAAGGATCATGGGACTTAGTAAGTAGGGTTATAACTAAGGTTACTATACTTATAACCCCAATTAGGGGACTTATAACGCTACTTACTAAGTCCCATGATCCTCCAAGTACCCTATCTCCACTGTGTTCGCCGCGGTGCGCTTGTACCTGCGATTCTCGCTGGCTCTACTCGGGAGGTCTCCTGTTCCTCCTTCTGGCATGATGTGTACCGTACTGCTTCAAATTCATCGCTTTCTAACTCCCTGCCGACGGGATGTACCAGCAATTCTTTGCTATATACAGAATACTGGCAGAAGTCGGTCAGCTGCTAGCCTTATCTTTCTGTTCTTATCACGTGGTCCTCCTAGAACTGGATCATTCTCGTTAGTCTATCAATCTTACTCTTACTATTTGCTCCGACTGTCACTGTCACTGTGACGGTGACTTTTACTCATTTTACTCTTAGTGTTGCTGCTACGATCACCATCACTACCACTATCCCTATCACAGTCACTAGTGCTGTAACTGTACTACTGCCATTGCTATTGCTGTTGCTATTGCTAGTGCTAGTGCTCTTGCTAGTGCTAGTGCTAGCTTTAGTGCGAGTGCTATGTGCTGTTGCAGCTGCAGCTGCAACTGCAATGGTGTTGCTGTTGCTATTGCTGTTGCATGCTAGTTCGTGCTATTGCTCTTGGCATTGCTATTGTCGTTGCTATTGTTTTTACTATTGCTATGGCTCCTGCTATTACTATTGCTCTTGCATGCTATCGCTATTGCAAGTGCTCTTGATATTGCTATGGCTAGTGCTGGTGCTAATGCTACTGCAACTGCAACTGCTATGGCTATTGCTGTTGCCTGCTATTGCATGCTATTGCATGCTATTGCATGCTATTGCATGCTATTGCATGCTATTGCATGCTATTGCATGCTATTGCATGCTATTGCATGCTATTGCATGCTATTGCTATTGGCTTTGCTATTGGCATTGCTATTGCTATTGCCCCTGCTGTTGCTATTGCTCTTGCATGCTATTGATATTGTTATTGCTCCTGCTATTGCCGTTGCAGTTGCTATGGCTACTTTGCTGCTGCTGCTGGTGCTATTGCTCCCGCTATTGCGCTTGCTCTTGCTATGGCTATTTTGCTGCTGGTGCTAGTGCTATTGCTCCCGCTATTGCGATTGCTCTTGCTATGGCTATTTTGCTGCTGGTGCTAGTGCTAGCGCTATTGCTATTGCTATTACTATTGTTCCTGCTGTTGCTGATGCTATTGCTCCTGCTATTGCTATTGCTATTGCTATTGCTATTGCTGTTGCTGTTGCTGTTGCTATTGCTACCGCTCCTCCTTTTACTATCACTATCACTATCACTATTACTACCACTGTTCCTATTACTACTATTACAATCGTTACTATTCCTATCACGACGCAAAATTGCGATACTACTAATACTCAAACACTATCATTCTTACGACTACTACTACCATTACTACTACTGTTGACATTACCATTACTAATACGAACATTGTACTAATGCTTGTACTAATTCCAGTACTAATACGAATATTAATACCAATACTGCTGCTTGTACTAATACTATCACTATTGCTAGTACTAGTGCTAATACTAATACCAACACTAATACTTATACTGATACTCTCCCTATTACTCACACTAACACTATACGAGTACTATTCATGTAACTACAAACTACTGCTGCTACTACGACTAGAACTACTCCTACTACGACGACGACAACTAC